TTTTAGGTGCGATTCATCAGGCTAAAATTTACGTACCTTTGCGTAAATTTACACGAGCTGACGAGGTTGCCGTAAATTACTCGAATTTCCGCAGGTGTTTCCAGCATACCGCAGCAGCATTATTTTATTGAGAAAACATTATAAATTACTACTAAACTAAAAATAAATAAATAATTACCATACTACACAGACAGGCGGAGCCTTTGACGCTTTTTGTCATAGCTTGGCATGTTTTCGTATATAAAGACAGAGATTCTGTAGTTAGCTCGTACGAGCACACGATCGTCGCACTTGTACGTGCACACGACCACGCACTTGTACGTGCACATCAAGCCGTACGTGTACGTACACACGCACGCACGCACAGCCGGTGTACGGATACCAAGCACGCACGTGTACGTCACGAACGCACGCACTGTACGTGCACACGAAAGTCGCGCCACACACGCGGCACGCCACGGTACCGTGTCGCGCTTTCATACGATGTTGAACACAATCATAAAAACGAAAATGAGGACAACTATCACATTCCCCCAGCACGTCCGTAGACAGCTAGAGGTCATAATGTTTACATACAAGAGGCGTCCGTTTGCGGGGTTCCTATGGTATGGTCGCACAGTGTGATTGGTTATGCCTAGTCACGCCCCTCCAACAGCATGCAGCTTACGATGCGCGCCGCGCGCGTGCGCATACACACACTAACTAAAACAGACAGAGGGCACTCACGGAAGAGAGCATACCTCCGCCAGCGACATACGCCAATACGCCATACGACTCACGAACACAGCGAATAACCCACGATATACGCCAGCGTACATGTATGCTCGATCGCCGCTCAGTCAGCAGGCAGCGGCTGTGGCTGTCACAGGCTCGCTCGCTGACGCGCTCAATATCGATCGCGTCACACACACACCGCACGCCACGCACGCACGCTACGCACGCACGCACGCACACACACACACACACACACACGCTAACGTGTATACACGAACGCACAGACCCGATCACATAACCTCCCCCTCCACTCCGTGGCGGAGGTAAAAATAAGATAGCATGTAAGAGTATTATTAGAGGTCAGTCTGAACGTTGTATTATAATTATAAGTTGTTAACACCCTCAAGTGTGCCTACCTTTCCGCCGGGAAACAGCATCATCGACAAATGATGGTCCCAACTTGGGACTCCCAAGGAAATAACACTTTGACATCGATTATCAAATTAAGCACAGGTTTTATATGGATTTGAATTTCGACACTTAATTTTCGATTTTTCGATGAAAGTGTCCAGCTTGTAGGCTACATCACTCATTTTGGGCGATCCCCCTATTATTTGCAAGAATCTTCTTCTTCTTTACCTTTTTGCAAATGATGGGGGGGGGGGTGTGACCCCCCACCCCACCCATCATTTGCAAAACATTTGCAAGATGTTTCTTTTTCCTCTTCTTCTTCTTTTCCTTTCTTCCTTCCTTCCTTTCCTTTATTTTTTCTTTCTTTTTCTTTTTTCTTTTCTTTTCTTTTTCTCTTCTTCTTCCTTTTTCTTGCAAATGATAGGGGGGGCGACGCCCCCCCCTGTCCCCCTGTGGCGCCGCCCCTGATACTAATAAACTATAGCAAATATATACCCACGATCCACCCAACATTTCTGAGTGATACAGTGATAACAGTACAAAACATTGACATACAGCATAAAGAAAAAATATTTAAAAAAAACTTCAGCATATTATGTACGTACAAGTAAAGTGATTAAGGTAAGTGTTGAGCAGTTAAATATAAAAAAAATATATATAAAAATTGAAGCTTTCTGAGTGAAACAATACAAAACAGTGCTATATACCATGAAAAAAAAAATAAACGATATGTTGTGCCCAAACTTATGGGCGTAATGTGCGTGCATGCGCGCGCGTGTATGTGCGTGTGTGCGTATTTTATTCTGCTGTTCTTGTGCGTTCAAAGTGAGGCCGGGCGGGCCGACAACACGTGTGCTTGTTAAAATCCCATCTATAATGTTTACTTTGCTCGCAGCATCACGCCCTGTGTTCCCCGCTATGCCTATACAAATGTACAGGAAGATGGTGCTCATCGGTCACCGTTAATTGACTGCCAAGATGCACAAAAATCTGCCAGAATTATTAGAGATCGACTGGAAAAATTGTTAGAAGACTCAAATATTTTGGGGGAGTTCCAGAATGGATTCAGGAGGGATCGGCGCACGGGGTATAATATATTTATAATAACCCAATGCATTCAGCAGGCAAAACATTTAAGAAAACAACCATTAAATACATTGCATTCTTGGACTTTAAAAAAACTTGACTGGGTGGATAGGAATAAATTACTAAGGGAACTAAGAAGAATAGGTTTGGGTAATGGGTTCGTTAAGCTAGTGGAGTCTATGCATGTACACTCAAGAACAATGAATCAAAGATAAGTTTGGGACTGTTTGAATCGGATTGGATAGCATCTAATAATCTAATGTATGTCTGAAGCAGGGTTGCCTTTTATCACCAATCCTGTTCGCATTGTTTATCAATGAATTGTCTACTAGGCTCGTAACAAATGCAAATAGATTATGCATTGGAGGAAATAGCTTTCCTGGAATGTTATACGCGGATGATGTGGTTCTGCTAGCAGAGAATAGGAGTAAAATGCAAAGTATGTTGAGCATTGCCGCAGACTTTGCAGAAAATTTTGGAGAAAAGAAATCCCAAATCATGATTCTCAATAAGCCGATATAGCAACAGGGTGTCTGGAAACTGCATGGGGGCAATGAATTTGCAGCAAGTATCTGAATACACTTACCTGGGGGTAAAGCTTAGTGACAATATCGAAAACTGCTTACAACAGCATGAGGATGATATACGGAAAAAAAGCAAGGAAATACAGGGGAGCAATAGCTTCAAAGGCATTCTATAGTTTCAATAGATATTGGGTGGGTAGGGAGCTTTGGAAAGCAGTTGCAGTGCCTGCTCTGACGTATACAAATGAAGCCCTAGTATTTAAAGTTAAAAAAGGAGGAACGTCCACGCTCCAGGCACTAGACAGGACGCAAAACCAGCTGGGAAGGGAGTTACTAGGGGCACCCACTTATGTGGGACTAGAGAGTATTAAAGGGGAGATAGGATGGTCAACTTTTGAAGATAGAGAGGCAAAAAGTAAAATTAAATATTGGGGCAAGATAAAATATATGAATAATGAACGGAAATGAAACAGATAGCGGAAGCAATGGAATTGGGCGAATTCAGATCAGACTGGAGGAGAACTAGGTTCCTCACAACAGTTTGAATCGGATAGGAGTCTAGACGAAGAGTTAACGGGGGTATTAAAGAATGGAATGTTAGAGTGGAAAGAGCAATTAAACAGAGTGGTACTACCGTCTGGAAAAAAGGGATAGATAACAAGAGTTCGCTAGGATTGTATAAAGAAAAAAAGATGCCTGGTAAAGAGTCCTTTTATGATAATAGTCTTGGGAGTAGCCTGCTCTTTCAATGCAGGGCGGGGTGCTTGCCATTGAATAAACGAACTAGACACTGGGGAGGCGAAGATAAATGTTTAATTTGTGGGAGAGGAGAGTTGAAGACCCTGGAGCACTTTTTACTGGAATGTCCTGGATATGAAAACCATAGAAAAAGTTTATTTAATATGATTAAACGTAGAACAGGTTTGGAGACAACAGAAACCTCACATGACATGCAGGAAGAGCTCTTGAAAACTCTCCTGGGTTTTAGGGTTGGCAGCAGCCTTATTACCTCCGCCAGGGGCTTGGCGGAGGTTATGTTTTCACCGGCGTGTGTTTGAGTCACTGATCTCTATATAATAATATCTTATAATCAATAATCAATAATCATAATTATAATATAATATAATCACAATAATATGATATTATTATAGAGATCAGTGGTCTCCTGGTGGTTTGAGTGTTGGTTTGTTGGTTTGTGCACGCTCGCTGATTGGCTGATTGGCCCGCCACCGCCGCCGCCGCCGCGCCGGAACCGCCTGTATCATACAGGTTAAGCCTTAACTGAAAAAGTTATGGACGGATTGTCATAAAATTTTTAGGATACGTCAGAAATGGGCTAACTTAGAATTCATGACATTTTGGTGGTGATCCGGATCCAATTCATTAATTCATTAATTATTTAATTAATAAAATTTTCAGGATAGGTCAGAAATGGGGTAACTTAGAATTGATTACATTTTGGTGGTGATCCGGATCCAATTAATGTTCAGCTTACTAAACAGTACCTGGAGATACTTTGGGGAGCTAGATCAGCTGCACTCACAAACCTATAAAATTAAATCCTTCCCGCGACTTCATACGCATAGCGCATGGTTACATGGCGCATAGGGTGGTGCCTATCTCCGTTTCAGTAACCCTGAGGCCCCGCAGCTGCTTTCACAGTAAATGCTACAGTAGGGGGTTAGTCCACTAGCTGGTAGCACTGCAAGTTAACTTGCCACACTCTACCTCTATTTTCTGAATGCTAAGCAGAGAAGCCGTGTGTACCATTTTTCAAGTCTTTGGTATGACCCGGCCAGGAGTTGAACCCCTGACCTTCCACATACGAGGCGAGTACTCAACCATTGAGCCATCGCAGTGGTGGCACAAACCTATAAGGGGACACGGAATGAATTTTCTATTATCTTTTTTTAATTATTTGCAGGGAAATACCAATCTAAAGGTTCCCAGTCATACATACATACATACAAAAGACGTCATCGACGACAACTACGACCGGGTGATTGCTGGAAATGGTACTAATATCCCGTCCGCAGTAGGGATCGTGTGGTGGGTTCCCTAATCGCTAATAAATACAGCTCTCCCCCACAAAGATTACACAACACAAAGGCAAGTCAAAAGCACGGCCCGGGGTCGCTCACCAACACACCTCCTCACCAAGCAACTATAGACGCAAGGGTCAGGGGTGTGCAATGTGTGAAAACCCCACATGTAATGAACGATGGGCGAGGGATGAGATATATCTAAATTCCTTTTTGCGGTTAGCAAGGTTCACATGTTTTATTTTTAAATATCATTGAACAATTACATCTATGTTAGTCATGCGCATATTACAGGAACAAGCTGGCACATATATCCTAATATAAAATTAACATTAACACATAAATAAATAAGGGGGAGTTAGTGCTTATAAATTTACTTGAGCATAAAAATCCATGTTACCATAACGTGCATTCATATGGTGCTAATATATTATGTATTTTGGGCATGCTAGCAGTGTTTTAGCCCCTATTTTAAAATTAAACTTTAATTTTTTTATTGAAATACTATTTAACTGCAGTAAAACAGGACCACTAGAATGACAGTTAGTATGTGCGCAGATTGAAGTTACTTAACTACCATGCATGAACACGTACATGAGCGGTGCATCATTAAAGCTACAATGTCAGCAAATCAATGCTATGAAATGGACTTGCCTATACTCAGTGCAATCACAATTCTTTGATCGGTATATGCCAGCTAATTAAACAAATAGCAGTAATAATAATAATAATACATCTAATGTTAACATGGAAATCTTTGCTTGAAATTCGATAACCAAATGATCACAACAACCATCTATAACGATTGAGAGCCATTTACAGCAGAAGGGGCACACTCTTGATCCTGAACATGTGCAGTCCTTCACAACTCATATGAATGAACAAATCGTCAAGAGAGATATCAGTGTCAGAATAGTTAGCTAGTACTCTTCATCCCAGATGGCATACTAGGTTAGAGTGTCCGGATGGTTTGTGGATATTGCCTTAATGTTTGTGCAATAATGTAGATTATGGATGATAAACCTCTTCTGGATAGAAGAAACAAATGAGGATTATGAGAATCAGACAAATACACATAGGCAGGTGATCAACACTGCCAGCTACGATACAAAGTCACTGGAACCATCCTCGGACAGACATCAAGTATTGTTCAGCGCCCTCTATTAAAAGCTTTTTTGCCGTGTAATAATCGATGGGAAGTCAGCGTGTTACAGGTCACAAATCTCTGCAAACGGATGTCACAGATCCACCTCATCTTTACAGTCAGCCTGACCGTATAACTTCTTCCCTCTTGTTCCGCCCGTCTTCTCTGCCTGCTGCTCGGCAAATCGAGCCAAGTGCTTCTTGGTCGATTTGTGAGCTGTCAATCTCCTGGGTATCCGGTAGTATGTCTCACACGTGTCGCACACGTGCAAAGAGTGCGCCTTCGAGTGTCTGTGGTGCCACAGCTGCGACTTGGTCGAATAACTCTTAGCACACGGGACACACAAGATATGCAGCTCTGCCGTCGCGCCGCAGTGCGTCCGGCGCGACGCGCGACTGTGGGCCGCCGCCCGGTGCAGTTTCAGCAGACGCTCGCTGCTAAACACGGCGTTGCACTGCCTGCACTCTACCTTCCTCCGCTTCGTCTCCCGATGACTAGCCGGCGCGCAGCCGTCGCTTTCGCTCGCTCGAGTACGGTCCTCGTCATCGGCCGCCAAGCTGCCTGCGTCGGACGGACGTCGCACGTCAAGGCCGGACGATTCCGCTCGGAGCGAGCCCGCCGTCGTCGCCGGCGCAGCAGCGTTAGTTACTCGCTCACAGTCCCGCTTTATCGGCTGGCCGACGTCATCGCACTTCCAATCCGTTTTCACGGGCGTCGTGGCAACTGCCAGGGCTGCCGCGTTCGCGACTCGCGCGCGCGTCCGCACTGCCGTGTCAGCGCGCTTCCGCGGTTGCCGCGACGACTCGCCGCTCCCGTCAACCAGCATCTTCAGCGAGGGAGCGTGCTTTCGCTGTCGCCGTCTTCGCGTACGAGTCGAGCACGCTTCCTCTCCGGGAGGGGAGCCATCCCGGCCGGAGCCCGCGCCGTTGTCAACGTGCGGCGATGTCACCGCGCCGAGCCGCGGTTGGTTGGCTAGGCTCCGCAGCCAGTTCATGACGAGCCGTTCATCATTGTCGCTAGTCTCGCAGCCACGCGCCTCCGGCGAGGCATCATCGCTTCCAGGGAGCGGCACGCGCCAATCCACTTCTGCGTACCCATCCGCAGCGGGCTCCTGCTTCACCTGCACTGGCGGAGAATGCTTGGCGGGATGTGCGGGCACGTTCAGCTGTTGTTCGTTGACGCACGAGTTGTGGCCTTCGCAGATGAGCATCTTGCAGTGAGCGGTCTGCGCGTGAAAACTGAAGTCGTTCACTGTGAAGAAGCACTCCCAGCAGGCCGTACATCGGTAGTAGACCGACGAATTACCGATAGCATCCGGTGCTGCCATCGCTACGGGAAGGTAGGTCGTCGTTGCCATGACAGAACAGTATTGCTGCTAGCACTGGCTCCTCGTTCTACACTCAACTTTATTGGTCGTGTCTCTGTCTGAAATGACAAGAATGTACACTGCTACAAATAATGTGGTCCCATCATTGGGACCAATCCTAGTTTACAGTAACAGAGAGAGTTTAGCACCCTGGTTAAACACATTGTTTAGAACAATTTTGCCAAAATGAGTCTGAGAGAGGCAGTAACCTCCCAAACTAAGATTGGGTAGCTTAGACTTTAGTATAAATATCGCAGATTCGCAACTCATACAATATATGCTCATGTTCATTACAATATATTTTATTTATATGTGTCCAACATATTTTGTACATAACTTCATGTCTGCTGCTTGTTCTATTTCCAATTATGTTCAATTTTGTTTTATTGTTATCATACAAACATTTTGTTCAAATATTTCTCATCATACTCATAGGTAGTGATGTCCCGATGATCGATTATAATCGAAAATCGATCGATTATAGTCTCAAATTCGATAATCGATTATGAAAACAAATAATCAATTATCAGAAATACCACCAAAACAAACAAACAAGGAACTGTACTCACGATGTGTGAATTGATATGACAAGTAGAGCACAAGTCTTGTCAGTCCAAGTTGTGTTTTAAGATAACACAATACAGGCTAACACGTCACATACCAGACAAACACGTCTACTCGACGAAGTACAAGTAGTTATCCTCCGCACGCAGTGCCGTGGAGGAAATTGTTTTCGTGGCCATTTCGGTTTCGTGTATGTGGCGGTGTGTATGTCTGTGTGTCTGTCCCCTCGATATCTTTGCAACCGTAAGAGGTAGAAATTTCAAACTTGGTCCACAGCTGCATCTTATGGGGCGAGAGAACCCTATTGATTCTGAGCCATTTCCATCCAAGGTCAGGGTCGCAGGGTTATTTTTCGAACTATACTATATTTCGAACACTGATACGTACGTATGCAGAGCTGCGTGTGTTATGATATCGATTTATTCCACTGTGCGCGCTACAATGCACTGGACCAATGACGAATGCTAACCGTTTCACGAACACAAACAGAAACTAGAACAGAAACGACACGCATTCACTTTATATGCAGAAGATTCAAATTATATTTTTATGCGCAAAGTTCTCTCGCATACGAGACCCAAACTACCGTATAGCACGCATACATCGCATCACACCATATTGCCCCAAACCCCCTAGTTTGCCTCGTGCCCTTTGGGCACTCTCGATGCAAATCACACACTTCAAAACAAGCCAAGGTGTGTGATTTTTCACTCGCCTGCCTTTTCTAAAACACAAGGACTGCTTGATCATGTTGTTTAAAACTTTTAATGTTTTAATAACGGCATTTAAACCATTTCTTTTTAAATTGATTAAATACTGTATAGGAACAGACATTGATATATGATACAGCAACCTTCACAGAGTTAATACATGATCATAAAACATGATAATATTGAATACAGGTATACAAAGTAGATTAAATTAAATCTATGCAGTCTTATGCTATTATTAACCAATTATCCGATTATAATCGATTATCGGTTTTCCTTAACCGATCGATAATCGATTATAATCGGATAATCGGTTAATATAATAATAGCATAGACTGCCATAGATTTAATTTAATCTTACTTTGTATACCGGTATACAATTATACATGAAATTCCAGCCAATTCCCATCACTATAGCCTAGGTCTTATTCAGTATTCTTATGACAGTTAGAGCCTAGATGGCTTTATACTAAAATTAATTTCGCTGTGGCTATATGCCCGGCAGCCGGGCACGGTCTTCGATTTCCTAAATGCCCGGCAGTTCCTAACCCTAACCCTAACCCTAACTCTGACCCTATAATCCTGACCTAATTCTAACCCTAACCGTAATCCTGACCCTAACCCTAATCCTAACCTAACCTAACCCTTGTTTACTTGAGATAACGCTAAAAATTAAAAACTGCCGGGCATTTAGGAAATCGAAGACGTGCCCGCAAGCCGTCAGATATATGCCGGCTGCCGGGCATATAGCCACTCTGAATTAATTTCTCTAAGTCTAAGCCTAAGGTAAGGGTTGGCTGACTAGATGACCGTATGATTTTTTCGCCATCCCTTCACTGCACGTTATTTATATTTTGTTAAAAAAAACCTTGGTGAAAAACCTTGTATCTGCTGATATTGAAAGTGATAAAATAAACTGTCTTATCTTAGCTTATCATTACAAGATTAGAAACGTATAACAACACAACATACCAGCAGTTACCTATACCGGATCTATTACCGGATATGCAAGACTGCCACCTGGCGGTAGGTGCGTTCTCTTACTGACTAAATACAGCTGAGCCGCTAATAGACTGGTACTCGCTCCCACTTCGATTACTCGATGTGGTGGACCGAGCCGATAGGTGGGACGGGTACCAGTCTAAGCTGCTAAATACTTTGGTCTACATCATTGTGCCATTGTGCAGACTTGCTAATTTTAAGTCTCTGTTCAAGTAATGATAAGAAATAGAATGGCTCAAAAGCTCTTTTTTGTTACAGGAAACGAGAACAAGCTGAGGGAAGTTATTCAGATATTAGGAAACAGTGTAAAGGTACCAGTGGCAGTGGTTACAGTCACAGGCACTTGAACTTGAAGCGTTTCAATAAAATATTATAATGCTAAATAAATAAATCTATTTACTTCCAAATCCTGGAATTCATAAAGCCGCACTATGCGCATCCAAAC